CCAAGTACAACACATAGGGAAGGCATTACAATATAGCCTAGTACAGCACGCAGGTAAGGCATTACAATATAGCCAAGTACAACACATAGGCAAGGCATTCCAAAATAGCCTAGTACAACATACAGGTAAGACATTACAGTATAGCCAAGTACAGCACACAGGTAAGGCATTACAAGATAGCCAAGTACACCACACAGGCATAAAGCATTACAATATAGCCAAGTACAACACATAGGTAAGGCATTACACTTTAGCCAAGTACACCACACAGGTAAGGCATTAGAGTATAGCCAAGTACAACACACAGGTAAGGCATGACAATATAGCCAAGTACAACACACAGGGAAGGCATTACAATATAGCCTAGTACAGCACACAGGTAAGACATTACAGTATAGCCAAGTACAGCACACAGGTAAGGCATTACAATATAGCCAAGTACAACACATAGGTAAGGCATTACACTTTAGCCAAGTACACCACCCAGGTAAGGCATTACACTATAGCCAAGTACAACACACAGGTGATGCATTACAATATAGCCTAGTACAGCACATAGGTAAGAGGTAAGGCATTACAATATAGCTTAGTATACCACACAGGTAAGGCATTACACTATAGCCAAGTACAACACACAGGTGATGCATTACAATATAGCCTAGTACAGCACATAGGTAAGGCATTACAGTATAGCCGAGTACAACACATAGGTAAGGCATTACAATATAGCCTAGTACAGCACACAGGTAAGACATTACAGTATAGCCAAGTACAGCACACAGGTAAGGCATTACAAGATAGCCAAGTACACCACACAGGCATAAAGCATTACAATATAGCCAAGTACAACACATAGGGAAGGCATTACAATATAGCCTAGTACAGCACACAGGTAAGGCATTACAATATAGCCAAGTATAACACATAGGTAAGGCATTACAATATAGCTTAGTATACCACACAGGTAAGGCATTACACTATAGCCAAGTACAACACACAGGTGATGCATTACAATATAGCCAAGTACAGCACATAGGTAAGGCATTACAGTATAGCCGAGTACAACACATAGGTAAGGCATTACAATATAGCCTAGTACAACGCACAGGTAAGGCATTACAATATGGCCTAGTACAACACATAGGTAAGGCATTACAGTATAGCCAAGTACAACGCACAGGTAAGGCATTACAATATAGCCTAGTACAACGCACAGGTAAGGCATTACAATATGTCCTAGTACAACACATAGGTAAGGCATTACAGTATAGCCAAGGACAACACACAGGAAAGGCATTACAATATAGCCTAGTACAACATACAGGAAAGACATTACAGTATTGCCAAGTTCAAGACACAGGTAAGGCATTACAATATCCCCGAGTACAACACACAGGTAAGGCATTACCATATAACCTAGTACAACGCACAGGTAAGTCATTACAGTATAGCCAAGTACAACACACAGGTAAGGCATTATAATATAGCCAAGTACAACACACAGGTAAGGCATTATAATATAGCCAAGTACAACACACAGGTAAGGCATGACAATATAGCCAAGTACAACACACAGGGAAGGCATTACAATATAGCCTAGTACAGCACGCAGGTAAGGCATTACAATATAGCCAAGTACACCACACAGGTAGGGCATTACAATATAGCCAAGTACACCACACAGGTTAGGCATTACAATATAGCCAAGTACACCACACAGGTAAGGCATTACAATATGGCCTAGTACAACACATAGGTAAGGCATTACAGTATAGCCAAGTACAGCGCACAGGTAAGGCATTACAATATAGCCAAGTATAACACATAGGTAAGGCATTACAATATAGCTTAGTACACCACACAGGTAAGGCATTACACTATAGCCAAGCACAACACATAGGTAAGGCATTACACTTTAGCCAAGTACACCACACAGGTAAGGCATTACAATATGGCCTAGTACAACACATATGTAAGGCATTACAGTATAGCCAAGTACAACACACAGGTAAGGCATTGCAATATAGCCAAGAACAACACACAGGTAAGGCATTACAATATAGCCAAGTACACCAAACGGGTAAGGATTACAATATAGCCAAGTACACCACACAGGTAGGGCATTACAATATAGCCAAGTACACCACACAGGTAGGGCATTACAATATAGCCAAGTACACCACACAGGTAAGGCATTACAATATAGCCTAGTACAACGCACAGGTAAGGCATTACAATATAGCCTAGTACAACGCACAGGTAAGGCATTACAATATAGCCAAGTACAACACATAGGTAAGGCATTACAATATAGCCTAGTACAACATACAGGTAAGACATTACAGTATTGCCAAGTTCAAGACACAGGTAAGGCATTACAATATACCCGAGTACAACACACAGGTAAGGCATTACAATATAGCCTAGTACAGCACATAGGTAAGGCATTACAATATAGCCGAGTACAACACACAGGTAAGGCATTACCATATAACCTAGTACAACGCACAGGTAAGTCATTACAGTATAGCCAAGTACAGCACACAGGTAAGGCATTACAATATAGCCGAGTACAACGCACAGGTAAGGCATTACAGTATAGCCTAGTACGACACACAGGTAAGGCATTACAATATAGCCTAGTACAACGCACTGGTAAGGCATTACTGTATAGCCAAGTACAGCACACAGGTAAGGCATTACAATATAGCCAAGTACATCACACAGGTAAGGCATTACAATATAGCCAAGTACACCAAACGGGTAAGGCATTATAATATAGCCCAGTACAGCACACATGTAAGGCATTACAGTATAGAAGGTACACCACACAGGTAAAGCATTACAATAAAGCCAAATACAGCACACCGTTAAGGCATTTCAATTTAGACATGTACAGCACAAGGTATAATACCTTACAGTTAATATAGTCATGTAATCAAATACCGGTCATACCTGCCAGAAAATACAATATAGATGTGTGGCTAAGCATCTAAAAACATATTTTAAATAAGGAATACCCTGTGTGATTTCGAGGAGTTATGTAAATTGTATGCAAAAGCGAAGTACACTCTTCTTACAACTAAATAAATTATTAATAGAAGTATTTCCGTTTTGTATGAATACTGCTTATGTGCGATTTTTACAGGTGTGTATGACATGGTAAGAGCGAATCAAACTGTGCCTATTTTCGTTATTATTCTTTGATTTACATGGATGAAAATATACCAGAAACGATCAATGTCAAGCCGAAATTTTCGTGAATACATGATTTTATATTTGGAAGGAAAGCCACTTCTATTGAAATCCTATTGGGGCTACAACTCTTGGTGGTCTAGTAACGGAATTACTTATATCATTAACGGCAGCCCTCGGAGTAGAACATGTACATGTAATTGAAGGAATACATTAGAAAGTAGAATGATATATCTAGTTCTTTACAAAGTGAGTCCCATATATCTACGCTTCATCCATCAACTGCACTGTATTATAATGGGAAGTCGACGGTTAAAAACACAAAGATCATACGTCAATATACCACATTGAATAACAGGGTTCATAGCGCGATAGAATTTATGTCGTATTTTGTTGCAAGTCTAAGGTTTTACCACACGCATACTTAAAGACGACCTTAGTCTTTTCTCTTTCCTTCTTTTACGCTTCTTTAACGCTTCTTTAAACAAATAAAGGTGGGCAGAAGCTGAAGTTTACAATTTGTTTTGTAAAATCGTAATGTTGAATACAATGGTTACTCGCAGCTCAGCATAATTGGCGAGGGGTATAAAGCAACAGGATTTGTTAGTCCGTGCACTCTTTCTCAATACGACTGGTTTAAAGAATTGCTTCCCCTTACCTGAATATATATAAGTACTGAATTTGATATATATCTATGCAACGCTTCAGTGACTTCTTAAGTACCCAGTATATCACTATATGAAGAATTGTTATGATAAGTTCTGGGTAACTATAGGTGCTACGTGGATATACTTGCATCAGTGATGCATCTTTGCTCGCTCTACTGAACGTAAGCTGAGGATCAACATTAATTTGACCTACATTTCACGCTTCAGTGAATCTGCTTAGAAGACATGGTCGAACGTCTAGAATTGTTTTTGTCCATATATGGATAATTCCTATTGCGACACTTACTATACTTTTAAAAGCATTTAATGTTGAATAAGCCTGTGTGTCTGTTATTATTATACCGCATAAAAGTTACTTATCATTTTTTGTTTGCAATATCTCCTTTGCACACTTGGTTTAAGTAATATGAATAGTAGCACTCTGTACCATTTACCATGGTATGGCATGTTACATTGTAACTTGGGCATACATCTGAATCATCTACGGAGTGGAGCATGTTGATGATCTCATCCTCTTGTTATACATGAACGATATATTGCCTTAGAATTTGTTTCGCAAAGTATATAGGGCGCTGTACAAATAATGTATATTATATATACTATACTATAATGTATATTATTGTTTATTTTGTACCCTCTGTCCCATTGTCTGTTGAACTATCTTTTAAATGTTAAGAAAACATTCTGTGATGCATGACATTGTGTATCCTTGGATGATATAGTTTGCGTGTTGTGTGACTTGTCAGTACATCGAATATATGCTCGCTGCACTTAGGTTTTTCTGAGTGTGGTTTTGAGTTCCTATGAGTGATTGTGTGATTGTAATTTTGTGGAAATAGTAATGCGATTGAAGTTTTGCTATAATAGTTGTGATTTTGCTAAGGTAGTTTAGTGTTTACAGTTTTGTGAGCATGGATTGTGTGCATGATTTTGTGATTGTAGTTTTTTTATTATGATTTTGTGAGTATAGTTTTGTTATACATTTTTTCGCTGTTTTCTTTTCGAAATATTGTTTACCATCTAAATTCTAGTTGAGACATGTACAGATGACTTTCGACGCGATTTCAAAAACAATGATTATGATCAATAAAATGAAATAAATTATTATGTCTCCATTTGAATTTATGACACCATTAGGATGAGTACGGTACGGCGGCCTATAAGACTGTGGAACTAGACACCCTGCTGGACGACAAACCAATCCAACACCGAGAGGTTCAGGACCACGAATCGGAATTGTTCAAATCATATTTCAAAACCATAACGTGAGTATGCAATAGGTGTTGATAAGTTCAGGTTAAATATTACGTCATAGAATATTCAGGTTGTACTAAAAACCATTTTGCGAGTTATCAATACGCTCTGATCAGTACGCAGATCTCACAACTTTTGACAACTGTCTTCGACCCATCTACAACTGTCACAAATCTTATTACAAAATACCTACAACTTTATATAGTTTATACTTTCAAATTTTACAACTCGGTACAACTCTCACAACTCTTTACAACTCTCACAGTTTTGTACACCGTTAAACAACTATCAACAACTCTTCACAACTCTCACAGTTTTGTACAACGTTAAACAACTATCAACAACTCTTCACAACTCTCACAGTTTTGTACAACGTTAAACAACTCTCACAACTCTTCACAACTCTCACAGTTTTGTACAACGTTAAACAACTCTCACAACTCTTCACAACTCTCACAGTTTTGTACAACGTTAAACAACTCTCACAACTCTTCACAACTCTCACAGTTTTGTACAACGTTAAACAACT